TTTTTTTTTTTTTTTGTTCGTTAAAAATTTAGAGTACAACGGAGATGAAGAAGACGGTGATGCCGGAGAAGGAAGCGTGTACGCTCGATGGAGCGGTCGACCGACATGGTTGCCCGGCTATCCGGGACAAAACTGGAACTTGGGTCGCCGGAATCTTGATCCTTGGTATGCTCAGCTCAGACTACACCATGCATGGCTCTCTTACTTTTCTCTAATATGACATAATCTTTAATGAGTTTCGGTTATATTTTAAATGCAATAGAAATTAATAAACCGAACAAGAACCCGTCATCTCCTCCAAAAGTAGGTCGTAACCGTCAATATATAGACACGGATTGGACTTAACACGTTTGATCTAAAACTTATATGTAATAGTATGAAGCCACCACTAGTAGATATTGTCCGTTTTGACTCGTCGTGTATTACCGTCAGTCTCATGGTTTTAAAACATGTCTACGAGGGAGAGTTTTTCACACTGTTATAAGTAAAGTTTCGTTTCACTCTCTAACCGAGGTGGGATGTAGGAACGAAAAATTCCTTATTAGGGTGTGAAAATCTTCCATAGAAGACACGTTTTAGAACCACGAGGCTGATGGAGATATGTTACGGGTCAAAATGGACAATATATGCTAGCGGTGTGCTTGGATAACGATATACGTCAAGAGCTAAGCTTACTTTAATCGTTTAATAATTTGACGACATGACAGTGAACCAAGGGTTGGCTACTCTAGCGTTTTTCGGCGTCGGAGTGAATTTGGTACTGTTTCTAACGAGGGTATTGGGACAAGACAATGCAGCGGCGGCCAACAACGTTAGCAAATGGACTGGAACTGTCTATATTTTCTCTCTTCTTGGAGCGTTCCTAAGCGACTCGTATTGGGGACGGTTCAAGACTTGTGCGATATTTCAAGCCATTTTTGTGCTAGTAAGTTCACAAAAATCACTCTCTCTTCAATTATAATGCTTGTTGAGTGCTCAAAATGCTTTTTGGTAAAGTGATTTAATTTGAACAAACAGTGCATGCTTTTCAATTACTACTTCAAATCACTTTATTTTTCTTTCAAGGGACTTGTAATAAAGTCTCATAAATTTAAATTATTTGTTCTTTATGTCAATAATAACAAATAATTTGTATGACATTTAATTGAGATGATGTTTGAAAGGATAATGTCCAAAAAAATTAGAAATAGATCAACTTAAATATAGTTTAATTGGTCTAGCTATATAATCTAGTGGAATTTCAGGCCTAAGTTGGGAGTAAAATTCAGCTAAATTTTGGAAATTATATAAAAAAGAGTTAAAAAAAATAGTTTTCCATTTTTAAAAAATGTAAATAAAAAATAAAAATAAAAATGATTAATAACTTTGAAATTTAAAATAATATAAATGAAATTAGAGTGTCAATTTCAACTTTATTTCATACTTTGGAATTAAATTTGATCCCACTTAGTGGAAGTTTAATAATGGGCATTTATGACCCCACGGCGTCGTTTTATTAAAAAAAGGTAAAAAGGAAAAAAAGGCCTTTGTCAAGACATAAACCTAAAATAAATAAAAATAATAATAGAAAAAACAAATAAACCTAACCAAAAAAAAAAAAAAAGCCCACATGTAATTAAAATATTTATTAAATAAAATCTAAATTGATTATTAATCAAATAATAACAAAAACCCGTGTGAGAGTTGAAATTTTTTAGGTCGAGTGAACCGGATCAATCCGAAAGTAGGGTTCAAAACCCATCCCAACTTTACTCTACTTTTTAAATTGTTACGAAGATTAATGATGTTTGTAACAGATAACCTAACATGTATGGTAGATAAGTATGATATTGTAAATAATTAAAAGAACCAGAGGACTTACCCTAAAAAATAGAGGTTAGGTTCAATTGAGGTATGAATTCTATTCAAGTTATGCAGGTTAGAAAGGGAGGGGGTTCTAAAAATTTGTTGTTTGTTTTGGGCAGGGTCTTGCTTCACTATCAATAACATCCTACATATTTCTGGTTAGACCAAAGGGATGTGGAGATGAACATACTCCATGCAATGCTCATTCCTCCTTCCATATAGCTCTGTTCTACCTCTCTGTTTACTTGGTAGCCCTTGGCAATGGCGGTTACCAGCCCAACATAGCTACCTTTGGAGCGGACCAGTTCGATGAAGAAGACGCCAAGGAAGGGATCTCCAAAATCGCCTTCTTCAGCTACTTCTACTTGGCTCTCAACCTTGGATCCCTCTTCTCCAACACTATTTTGGGTTACTTTGAAGATGAAGGAATGTGGGTGCTTGGATTTTGGGCTTCTACAGCCTCTGCTGCTATGGCTTTGATCTTGTTCCTCTGCGGAATCCCGAGGTACAGACATTTCACTCCTAAAGGAAATCCGCTTTCTAGGGTTTCGCAAGTGGTGGTTGCGGCTATTAGAAAATGGAAGGTTCAGATTATGAATGATTCTGAGGGATTGTTTGATGATGATGAGAAGGAATTAGTCGGTAATGGAGCTAGGAAGATTCTTCATACCAATGGATTTAAGTGAGTTTTGTGAACAGATTCTGTAGTTTCAATTGATTTTTGATTTTGAGAGAAATGAATGTAATGTGTGTTTGTGTGATTGTTTTGTTATCTACAGATTTTTGGACAAAGCAGCGGTGGTTACCTCGGCGGAGATGGAACGATTTGACGGTGGAGATCGGAATCCATGGCGTCTGTGTACGGTTACTCAAGTCGAAGAAGTGAAATGCATCATCAGACTCCTTCCGATTTGGCTTTGCACGATTCTCTACTCCGTCGTCTTCACTCAAATGGCTTCTCTGTTCGTCGAGCAAGGCGCCGCTATGAGAACGAACATTTCCTCATTCCATATCCCTCCCGCAAGCATGTCGAGTTTCGATATTCTCAGTGTTGCAGCGTTCATCTTCATCTACCGCAGGATAATCGATCCAACCTTCGTTCGATTAACCAAAACGAGCCTTACAGAGCTTCAAAGAATGGGGATCGGCCTCGTAATCGCAGTCTGCGCCATGATATTCGCCGGAACCGTCGAGATTTTTCGACTAAAATACGCGAACAAAGATTGCCGCCATTGCGACGATTCGAGTTCCCTAAGTATTTTCTGGCAGATTCCGCAGTATGTACTGATTGGAGCATCGGAGGTTTTCATGTATGTCGGCCAACTCGAGTTCTTCAACAGTCAGGCACCTGACGGACTCAAAAGCTTCGGTAGCGCTCTCTGTATGACCTCGATTTCCTTCGGAAACTACGTTAGCAGCTTGCTGGTGACGATCGTGATGAAGATCTCGACAACCGATAACATGCCGGGATGGATCCCCGGAAACCTAAACAGAGGCCATTTGGACCGATTTTTCTTCCTCTTGGCCGCTCTCACGGCGGCGGATCTCGCCGTCTACATCCTCTGCGCCAAATGGTACAAATACATCAAATTCGAGAGCCGTGACGCCGCCGCCGCCGCCGCCTCTGCTGTCTAGAGTTTTGCTTCAATCGACAATGGTGGCAAAATGCAGTTGGAGGTGGAAGAAGGTGAAATGTCCATTATACCCCCGTCTGATCCATGATCAAATTATTTGATCGGAAGAAAATAAATAAATAAATGAAATAAATTGGGGTAGTTTGATCGAGATCGTTGAAGTTGGACCGGACAATCGCAGCCGTAGATATGAAGGAAAAAAAAAACCCATTCCGGTCGAAGGGATGATCGGCCGGTCGTTGCTATGAGACTGGAGAGATGATTCCGATTACTTCTCCGGTTGAGCGGTGTTGTGAGATATTTTACTGGACAAGGTGGGTGTATTGAGTAAAAACTTTTATTTATTTCCTTTTTTATTTAATTAAATGCGGAAAAAATAAGCAATAAAAATTATTATTTTTCACGCTCTGTATTTAATTAAATTAAATAAATTTTAATTTTAATTTCTTATTTATATTGGAAAAAAGCCATTATTATTTATTCTGGGGTATAATTAAGTATAATAAACAAATAAACAAATAAACAAAAAATATTAATAATAATTTCTACCTCCGCCATTGAACCTCTGATTATCGACTTCGGTCAGATCCCAAATCCGTCCCCTCGCCACCGCCGCTGCCGCTATGTGGAGAAACTCCCGGAGTTTCTCATCCAAACTCCGGTCATCATCTTCCTCTTCCAATCCTTCAACCACAACCTCCATTTTCACTTTCTATCATCCCATTGGCGTCGCTCAGCCGTGTCTGCGCGCCCTCTATCCTTATACATCATCATTATTTTCCTCTCTATCTCTGTCGGCGTCCTCCTCGGATCCCATCAGACTAGGTTTTTCGAATTCCCATGGAGTTCGGGGCTTTTCGAGCGTTGCTGATCCATCATCTTTGGCTTCCTCATCGGTGGTTTCCAGAGCCAGGGAGGCCGTGAATTTATCTCGCCACTATGGTCGCTGTTACTGGGAGCTCTCCAAAGCTCGTCTTAGGTACTTTCAGTTTCCTCTTCTATTCGATTTTTTGGTAAATCCGAGCTGTCTTTGTAAGACAGATTTTATGGAGCTTCTTTTACTAATTGAAGGAATTTGTAACTATTCCCTTCCTTTATGCTGTTTTGAACGAAATTATTGTCAATACTTGTTCCTTGAATTGATAGTTTTTTTAGCACTATTATTCATATATGTGCATCGCTTGTGAGGTCTACTTCCTTCTAGAGAGCCGTTTGTTTTGATATGTGATTAGTCCCTATGTGTTTACCCTTAGAGATTTGTTTCCATGAAAACAATAATAAGTTTATGTCATCTGGGAGAATTAAAATCAATCAATCTTTTCCTTGCGTAAGAAAATGTTCTTATAATAACAGTTTAGCTGCCTTTGATTAAGTAGATGTCTTTATAATTATAGCTTATCTTTTAAGAATTTCAGGTATTACTTGTTTCGATCATGCAAATACATCGGTTAAAATAATGTCGATAATCTACGTTGAACTAACCACTATGGGTTTGCCTATCGGCGAATAAGGACCGATATAAATAATTTGACGAGAAACCAAATTTTGATTGATAAAGAAAGACAATATAAATAATGAAGGGATAAGAGGAATGGGTTCAAGCCAAGGTGTCCTATTTAAGATTTAATATTCTACAAGTTTCTTTGGCATCCAAATGTAGCTGTACTAGATAATTGTCTTGTAAGAATAGTCAAGGTGTGTACAAGTTGGTTGGGACACTCATGGATAATATATATATATATATAAAGTTATTGTAAGATCCCACATCGGTTGGAGAAGAGAACAAAACACCCTTTATAAGGGTATGGAAACTTCTCCCTAGCAGATGCGTTTTAAAAACCTTAAGGGGAAGCCCGAAAGGGAAAGCCCAAAAAAGACAATATTTGTTAGCGGTGAGCTTGGACTGTTACAGTTATGTTGGACTCGAGGATGTAAATCAATTGTTATTTAAGGGTGGATAATAGCCTTGACTGAATTTCTTCTTTCTTCAATAGAAGTTCTTATTCTCATGAAGAATTAACCTGTTTTTTGTCTGTTTACTTGTACAAATGAATTTCTGCCTCTTAGATTCATTTTTATGCTTCTTATTTCTCTTGTCTTGGATTTGCACCTCTATTGCAGCATGCTAGTTGTTGCAACTTCTGGGACTGGGTTTGTTCTCGGGAGTGGAAGTACTGTGGACCTTGGGGGACTTTGTTGGACTTGTGCTGGTACAATGATGGTTGCAGCATCTGCAAACTCCTTAAATCAGGTTTCTTTCATCCTCAATTTCAACCCCTTTAAGTGCCTATCTTGTATCCGTGTCCTAATTTTTTCGGGAGATAATGCTTTACCATGTAACAGTTGTATCTTATTCATTTATTCTGTGTCCATGCTCCTTGGATAATCGTTTTGAGTTTTAAGACCTGTCGTATTAACCAAGGTTGTAAAGATGAGTACTACAATATTTGGACCTGTTTGTGATTCTGCCTGATATAATGGAAAATACTGCAATATCTGTGCGTTTCAGAATCCTATCTACCAAGTTTGCTGTTTTTTTTTCCTTTGGCTGAATCGACTTTGGCTAACATAACAACATTCCTGCCTTGATATTAGTTCCACGATTGCTCGTAAGCGTTGAAGAGCACTTTATTCTATTATCTATAAAAGCATTAGATTTCCATGTTCTTCTAATTTTCTTGTTCATAGTCATACTAATTAAAAATTCATGTAATCAGGTTTTTGAAATAAAGAATGATGCTAAAATGAAGAGAACGCACCGCAGACCACTACCCTCAGGGCGCATCACAATACCACATGCAGCAACCTGGGCAACTTCTGTTGGTTTAATTGGCACTGCTATGTTAGCTACCAAGGTGACAAGATAAATCGCTCATCATCTTCTTATTGCTATTTGACCATTTTTTTTTTGTAAGTATGTTGCCAATTCTCAGTGACTAGGAGCCAATATGCTTATTTCTTTTTTTATGGACAAGGTTGTTGCAGGCTAATATCTTGGCAGCTGGTCTTGCGGCTTCAAATTTGATTCTCTATGCATTTGTATATACCCCACTTAAGCAGATTCACCCTGTAAATACATGGGTCGGGGCCATAGTTGGTGCTATTCCACCACTTCTTGGGTAGGTTCCTATCACTATTCCCTTTGTATATCCTTAAAAGTAAAAGAAATCGTGCACGTTCAAAAACAGAGTATGATATTACAAAAATCATATCTTCTGACTCAATTATATTTTCATACCATACCAGTCAAGTAGAGTCTTGTGCTTTTCTTATTTGTTCGGTATGATTATTGTATGATATCGCTGCCGAGTACCGTTGGGACTTTTAGTTCATGTTTCTGTTCAAATGACCAATGAATTTTTGCTATCTTTTAGTACGTTTTATATGTTTGTTTATGTTTGATGCTGATCATTGGAATTACGAACCTATAGACGTGACGATTATAGACATAATTCAATGATTTCGGTCCAAGAACAAGGAAACATCTGGGTTAAAACTTGAAACCAGATCAGATTGAACCAAATCATAACCCTCAACTTACAACCTTGCAGTATGAAATCTTTTCCATGTGGGGTTTCAGGTGGGCTGCTGCTTCAGGACAAATATCTCTAAATGCAATGATTCTGCCGGCTGCCCTTTACTTTTGGCAAATACCGCATTTTATGGCTCTGGCATATCTTTGCCGTGATGATTATGCTGCTGGAGGGTAAGAACATATTATGATTGCAATACCTATTCGTATGTTAATTGTACCCACAACATTATCATCAGTGATAGTGAAGACTTACTAGAATTGTTCATTCATTTGGATGGTTTGGAATATATTGGAAGATTGTTAGGATTGTTAAGGTTGAAGTTTACTTTCAGTTTATATTATAGCTTGTTAAGGAGTTGTTTATTATTAGAACTGTTTGAGTTGCATACTCTTACCAGGCTCTCTGGGTTTTTTTAGGTATAAAATGTACTCTCTTGCTGATGCTACTGGTCAGAGAACTGCTGCAGTGGCTTTAAGAAACTGTCTGTATCTCATTCCTCTAGGCTACTTGGCTTATGATTGTAAGTTACATTCTCACTCTCATTCTAATTGGTAGCAGCTTTCATCAATGCGGTTGTTCATGCTGATTTTTGACATTTAGTAGATGTTTGACGATGTTTATCCTTCTAGAAGTGTCACGATTTTTAATGTGGGTGTTACAAACTGCTATAGTTCTTATATAAACACGGCACCGTGACACTAAGAATGGCACCATTGTATTCTAATTTTGGTTGGGACAAGTAAGCCCGTTCCTCCAATTCTCTAACAAATAGATTTAGTTCGAGCTGTCAGGTGTGATTGTTCTCTTTCCTGTATGTCACTAACTTTCCTTGTGTGCTAACAATGTCATTAGGTTTAGGAAAGGTCTAAATCAATATGTAGTAATCGACCCATATTGATCTTTTCGGCTAATCTAAAGGACCGAAAATTTGGTGTCATATCGTTCTAGTATTTGTCGTTCAACTTGTGCTAATAGTACTCGTGCTTTATGAATGTTGAAATAGCATAAACTACTGGCTAAGGCATGGGGATGCAATACTATACAGACAATATCTTGGATGAATACATTTATTGTTGTGATTCAAACAATTTGACCATTGAATCTGTCTCTCTGTTATCTGGTTTCTTCCCTTGCCAATAATACCATACACGATCGAGTTCACAAGGTGTCACCTTGTTCGAATTTTGATCTTTTCAGGGGGCATTACTTCTGGATGGTTTTGTTTAGAATCATCCATCCTCACGCTCGCAATCACTGCGACCGCGTTTTCATTCTACCGCCACTGCACGATGCAGAAAGCAAGAAGGATGTTTCATGCTAGCCTCTTGCATCTTCCTGTGTTCATGTCAGGACTTCTATTCCACCGTCTTTCCGATAACAAGCAGACGATGAAAGAAGATAGCTCCAAGAGGATGTTGGATGATCTAGTACAGGACGATAGATATAATGCCGAAAAGATCAAGACGGAGCATAGCCGAGGTGTTGCCCAAGGTCGACGACCGCCTGTTGCGTATGCTTCGGTTGCACCCTTCCCTTTCTTGCCTGTTCCAGTATATGCTGACTCTTGATGAACTTAGTTTGTCGTTGTAAACACCTTCCCTTTTGAATGAAATAATGAGGAAGGATCTCTCATTATATATATATATATATATAATCAGTTATTGCTCGTTTTGTATGGTGATAGAATTACCCAGAGGCATTCTACTGTGACAGTTTTGGAATATGCAGTTTGTAAAGACACTCCCACTCGTTATCCGACAATCACTTATTTACAAATCTCGTGTGGGGCTAATAGTTTGAATTTTCCATCTCATAAAAAACCTTTTTTGCTCCGCTTAGCACTATCCCCCGTAGGGGTATTTTAGTGATAGGTTCTATAGGAACTAGACGATCCTATTTAGTCAAATACCTAGCGACAAACTCCTATCTTCCATTCATTATAGTATTTCCGAACAAGTTCCTAGATAACAACCCTAAAAGTTTTATTATTGATGATAGTGACGATATGGATTATAGTAACGATATTAATGATAGTGTCGTTGGTTTCTGGTAGTAGACGAAGATTTTTGTTATAGTATTTCCAAACAAGTTCCCGGATAACAACCTTAAAGGTTTTATTATTGATGATAGTGACGATATGGATTATAGTGAATATCGATAGTGTCATTGAGTTTCTAGTAGTAGACGAAGATTTTTGGAATTCATTTATTCCTCTCAGGATTGGGTTGCTTTGGTTTTGGTGTAACCGGACTGTATGGTCTGAGTTCGGGATTGATTTTTAAATGGCTAAAATCACTTTTGTCGTATTCAAAATTTTTAATTATTAAATCAATTTTCATAAAAAAAAAATTACATTCAAAAGTATAAAATCACATGATGTCGACTCACACGTATCCAACAAGTTTTGTAATTTTTCAACGACCGTTACATTATTTACAGTATGCTCGTGATATATATATATTTTAACAATCGAGTATACCCAAAATTATATTAATTATTAAAAAGAATAAGAAAGTATTAAAAAAATATGATGAAAATAATAATAATCTATTGTTATTATTTTTAATTTCTCAATATACTTACTTTGGCTTGTGAAGTTAGGGGTAAAATAGTCATTTCACAAGTTAAGAATAAGATAAATATTTTTATATTTTTCAGTGCAAATTTATCGATTAAAATATCTATGGATTTAAACCGAATTTAGTGAATTATTGAATTAAAAAAAAAAAAAAAACTTAAATTTTAATTCAACAAATTGTTTAATAAATGGGAGATGCGGGCGGCTACAATGTTCATAAATTAAAATCCATTAAACGGTGGAGGGTTCTAATTTTAGCCCTAGCTCTGCTCGAGACATATTGGCGGGAACTTCACCCTGGAACTGAGCCCTCGACTTTGCCTCTCACTCACGAATTCGACTCCCAAACTCTCCCAATTCTGCTTCATCCAACGCGACAATGGGGAAGGATGATGAGGAGATGCGTGGAGAAATGGAGGAGAGGTTGATAAACGAGGAGTACAAGATTTGGAAGAAGAATACTCCGTTTCTTTACGATTTGGTCATCACTCATGCCCTAGAGTGGCCTTCACTTACTGTCGAGTGGTTGCCGGACCGGGAGGAGCCTCCGGGGAAGGATTACTCCGTTCAGAAGATGATTTTGGGGACTCATACCTCCGAGAATGAGCCGAATTACCTCATGCTTGCTCAGGTTCAGCTTCCGCTTGAGGATTCTGAGAACGATGCGCGACATTACGATGACGACCGTGCTGATGCGGGTGGCTTTGGATGTGCGAACGGAAAGGTTTGTGGATTTTTACCTTTTTCTAGCTATGGAAGAGCGAAAATTGAGTTTTGAGATTCAGTTTTATTGATTGGAAGAACTAATCTGGAGTGGGTCGAATTTGCATCTGGAGTAGTTCGTTTTTAGTTCTTGCAATGCTTTTACAGAAAAAAGGACAAAGTTAGATAGCGAGATTTTTGTAGGCGAAAATGTACTTGCTTAAGGTACTGCAATTGATAGATTAAGAGTAGATCGATTGATGAAATTTAGTTTTGGAGATTCAAAATTAATTTGATTCTTTTTTCAAGTCAGGTACAAATAATCCAGCAAATAAATCACGATGGTGAAGTCAATAGAGCACGTTATATGCCTCAAAATCCATTTATTATTGCCACAAAGACTGTCAGCGCGGAAGTCTTTGTTTTCGACTATAGTAAACACCCATCCAAACCACCTCTAGATGGTACGTGTAATCCCGACTTGAGGTTGAGGGGTCACAATACCGAAGGCTATGGTTTATCCTGGAGCAAGTTCAAGCAGGGCCATTTACTTAGCGGCTCTGATGATGCACAGATTTGTTTATGGGACATTAATGCTACTCCGAAGAACAAAACCCTTGAAGCTATGCAAATTTTTAAGGTGACCTCCTCTTGAACTGGTCTTCTTCTTACAAACATCTTAATGGTTGTGTTTTTGTGCTTCTATGGCTTTTAATCACAATCAGGTATCTCGTGTTGATCTTTTTTTCAGTCAAGATGTTGCCAGTTCATAATGATTTGTTTGGATTTTACACTAGGGTTTCTTATGAACTTGTACAAGTGTATAAATATGTGATTCAGATGGGCTGCAAATAGTTTATGGTGGTTAGCTAGTCTTTTTGCCCTGAATTGTGAATTACAACGTAATAAATATCTCTAGCTACAACTTATGAACAATGTTATATATATTATTTGGTGCTATTTTGGTTTTAGCTATGATTTGATGTGATCTGTGTGATAGGTTCATGAAGGTGTTGTGGAAGATGTCGCATGGCATCTGAGGCATGAATACTTATTTGGTTCAGTAGGCGACGACCAATACCTACTAATATGGGATCTGCGAACTCCTACTGTTAATAAGCCTGTACAGTCCGTAGTTGCTCATCAAAGTGAGGTAGGTGCTACTGGAAGATAAATAAAAATGCTTTCAATGTTAGTGGGTTGTGAATGTATGGTTTCTTCGTGCAAATGAGGAAGTTCTCCTTTCGTGGTTACATGCCAAGATAAGTCTAATGAAAGAATCTGAATGATCGTTCGTTCTCCAGCAACCAGTTTTATCCATTTGAGCTCGAAATTATGTGACACTATTATCCACTATGGTAATGAAATAGATGCTGACATTTTAGCTTCAATGAAATAAATTCTCTTGTAATTTTGCCTCAGGTCAATTGCTTGGCATTCAATCCCTTTAATGAGTGGGTAGTAGCCACAGGGTCAACTGATAAGACGGTTAAGTTGTTCGATCTACGTAAGATCAGCTCTGCACTCCATACCTTTGACTGTCACAAGTAAGCATCTTCCTTGGATTATGAAGTTCATTAATCTCAATTTTGCTTGTCAAGTGCTGGAAACACAGCACATGAAGCCACACGTCTAGACACATTTGAAAACCTAGTTTATTGCTGTTGCGCACGTGTTTTTGAACGTCTGTACTTCTATTTTGTGCAACAGGGAGGAGGTTTTCCAGGTTGGCTGGAATCCAAAGAATGAAACAATCTTAGCTTCTTGTTGTCTTGGTAGGAGACTCATGGTTTGGGACCTTAGTAGGTAAAGTTATCAATGAACTCTAATCACATCGATACTTTGTTTTAGTAACGTCCCCTTAAGCCCCAATCCTGTATAACTCCATATATTTTCTCTTGATACCGAATGGCTGTAAGATCCCTCATCGGTTGGAGAGGGGAACGAAACATTTCTGGTAAGGGTGTGAAAACTTCTCCATGGTAGACGCATTTTAAAACTGTGAGGCTGACGGCATACGTAACAGGTCAAAGCGGACAATATCTGCTAGCGGTGGGCTAGGGCTGTTACATTCACCCACTACTCAACCATATTAAATCGATGGTTTTGATACTCAATTTACATAAACGGGATTTCGTTTTTGGTTTTCTTCTGCAGGATTGATGAGGAGCAGACGCCCGAGGATGCGGAAGATGGCCCACCGGAGTTGCTGTTCATTCACGGCGGTCATACCAGTAAAATATCAGACTTCTCTTGGAATCCCTGTGAGGACTGGGTGGTTGCTAGTGTAGCTGAAGATAACATACTCCAAATCTGGCAGATGGCTGAGAACATCTACCATGATGAAGATGATTTGCCAGAGGAACCTCCAAAGGCCTCTTAGTGTTTTACTCTCTCTCTCTCTCTCTCTCTCGCTGTATTTCAGTTATTACAGACAATTAAAATCTATCAAGGGACCATTCATTATTAGGTCTTCCAATTCTCAGTAGTCTTCTTCTTCTTCTTCTTCTCCTTGTTCCACAGAGCACGACCGCCCCGGTTGTGAGCGTTCGACGAAAGAATTACTTATATAACTGTATGCCGTAGGATGATGAATGGTGAAAGGATGTGCTTTGTAGGGTCTGTCCTTCCTAAACTTTAGTTCACTGCCTTCAGTAATATACTAGTGTTCATTCTTAGGGTTTATAATGATTCACTATTAACTTTTCTAGGGCCAAGGCTTTGCAAGTGTTACAATTTGTACTTATTAATGTTTTAAAAATTAGAGTATATTATGCAATAACATTAGATTTTGTTTAATTTATTTATTACCTACTAATGTCAAAAGTTCAAATACATTTTAAAATTTCAAAATTAAAGGTTGAACTGACATATTAGAAACTTTTTAAAGTTTGAAGTCCTATTTAACCTAATTAAAATTTAAAAACTAAACTTATAATTTAACGTACAAATAGGTGATTAAGAAGTCCGTTCCATCAATCCTAAGATTTGGACAAAAAAGATAAAAACTTAAGCGACTCCCTTGTTGGCTTTCCAGATTTGATGTCAAGAAGATTCCACAATTATTGATGGGATGTTGTATTACAATAATCACCCACTCTCCAAATCAACTTTGAGCTCCAATCTTGTTGTTGACAAAGACAAAGATACTTGTAGGAACCAATCTGTCAGTGTTCTTTTAAGCTATTCAAGCCTTGAGATCTCATCGAATACTCCTTCACCAGTTTGGAGAAGAAGGAATCATCTCTTTCGAGTAATTTTCCGGGTGAGTCGAACTCGGCAATCCGTCCTGTTGAAAGAAAACAATTGAGGTTCACTTTCAGTAACTTTGTAGCTAAGTACTCTCAGTAAATCAATGAAAGATTCATACATACTTTCAGTAACTTTGTAGCTAATCAATGAAAGATTCATACATACTTTCAGTAACTTTGTAGCTAAAAA